GACACTGGGACACGGAGCAGCTCCATTCCTGACACTGGGACACGGAGCAGCTCCATCCTGACACTGGGACACGGAGCAGCTCCATCCTGACACTGGGACACGGAGTAGCTCCATCCCTGCTCCTCCGTGCTGCCCTGCCTGTCCCAGTTGTCCATCAGACCCAGAGTCCTCTCCTGGCTGTGCAGGTTGGGATCTGTTCCCAGTGGGATGACTGAGGCTCCTGAGGCTTTGCCTTCACTGCAGAGGGGAGGGTGGGGTGGCTCCATGATTCCAGGGAGTGCTCCCAAAACATCCTGAGACCCCTTTTCCTGCTTCCACAGCATCTCCATGGGGTTTGCAGTCCCTTTTCCTGTTTCCACAGCATCTCCATGGGGTTTGCAGTCCCTTTTCCTGTTTCCACAGCATCTCCATGGGGTTTGCAGTCCCTTTTCCTGCTCCCACAGCATCTCAATGGTGTTTGCAGCCTGTTTTCCTGCTGCCATGGCATTAAAGCTCCTCCAGTGCCACCCCTGCCATGGACAAGGACATCTTCCACTGTCYCAGGGTGCTCCAAGCCCTGTCCAACCTGTCCTTGGGCACTTCCACGGATGGGGCAATCACAGCTTCCCTGGACTCCCTGTTCCAGGGCCTCACCACCCTCACAGGGAGCAATTCCTCCCCGGGATCAGCTTTGCTCCTGCGATTATTTCCCACCAGAGTGGGACAGGATCAGGGGTGTGGCGAGGCCTGAGGGTCCCCTCGTGTGTCCCTGCAGGTGACGCTGCCGTGGCCGATGTCCCCGGAGCCGATCCCGGAGGATGAGCAAACCCACGGAGCTGCAGCACGACCTGGAACGAAGCCTCCCAGCCATCGCYTCCATCAGCTCCTCCTTCTCCCAGAGCCAGGGCTTCTCCCCRTACTTGTTCTCCCCGGAGAAGAGAAAAGCCATCTCAGATGTGAGGAGGACCTTCTGTCTCTTTGTCACCTTCGACCTGCTCTTCATCTCCCTGCTGTGGATCATCGAGCTGAATGTGAGTTGGAGGAAGCCAGCCCGGGAATCTTTGCCCTTTTTAAGCTCAGTTCCCTGTGTTAATTGCTCTGTTCCAGCACTCCTGGGACAGATCTTTGTTTGCTGTTCCCAGCGCTGGCCAAGGAGCCGCCGTTCTTTAATGTAAACTAAAGTCCAGCTCGTTTCCTGCCCCGGGGCTTTGTCGGGGCTGTCCAGGGCCGTTAACACCGTCCTTTTGTTGTGCTGTAACAAGATCCAAGGCCTCTGGAAYCACCAAGTTGAGCCAAATTTCTCTCCTGCTCCCCTGGCCTGAAGGAAAGCTGCTCCCTGGGTTTGCTGCTGTCACGTTCTCCGAGCATCAGAAGAGCAGGGGAGGATCCTCCAGGGGCTTTGATCCCAAAATTCTGCTGCTAATCTCAGCTTTGGGAAGCTGGAGGTGCTGCTCCTCCTCCCAAGGGATTGTTGAGGGGGACGTGAGTGGTTTGCTTCCCTCCAAGGCAACTGTCACAAGCTGCTGCATTTTGCTCTGTGTTGCAATCAGGGAAAATCCAGTTTATTTACTTCAGTCCCACCAAGTCCAAATCCCTCCCTGGGCTATATTTTGTTTTTATTTTCCCTCAACCGGCCCTGGCTGGTTTCAGGTACTCCATGTCCTCCCCTGGAACACCCGGAGCGGAGATGAACAGATAAATGCAGGCCAGAGCCCAGGGTCTATCAGCACTGGATCCTGCTGCTCCCTCAGCAGCTCTTATCTCTGCCCTTCTTATCTCTGKGTGTCTGCACTTAACAGACTGTCCAGGCCAGACCCACAGCCCCCTGCCCCCCACCCCACTTAGGAAAAAACACCTCCCAGCAGCATTCCAGCCATGCCGATGGTGTTCTGCACTGCCCAGCTTGGACCCCTGCCCTTGTCCCGTCCTCTCAGGGGGAGGTGCTGCCACCTACAAAATTCCAGCCCCGGGAGATAATCCTGGCACGGTCACCAGGGTGATGCCGAGCGTGGGTCGTGCAGGTAGCCATTAATGAGTGACTAAGTGCTGATATTTGGGCCCCCGAGCCGAGATGCTGCATATTTAAAGCCATTAGAGCAGCTTATTTGCCTGGTTATGAAGAACAACGGTTTGATATCATGACTAATGCCTTTTTTTTTTGCCTTTTTTTTTCTTTTTTTTTTTTAAATCCAACCATTTCCTTCACTTCGAGATAAGCTGAGCAAATTGCCCCTCGTTAAAAGCAAACTAATTGTGCAGGCTGGGTGCTCTCAGAGCCATGGAGATGCCTCAGGTGCTTCATCTGCCTGGGTTTAAGCTGCAAACACCCCCGAAACCATCACCCAAAGCTTTCCCTGTATCTCATCCTTCCTGCAGCATCCCAAGGGGTCAGGGTGTTGGGAAGAGGCTCTTGGTGGCTGCTCAGCAAAGCTGGCCTGAGTCCCATGGCCACAGGTCAGCTGGAGGCTCAGTCCAGCTTTGTGCCCCTCTTTTTGCCTCTTTATTTTATATTGAACCCCATTCCAGACCTGGAGGGTTCCCTTCCCAATCCTTAGAGTGCCAGAGCCTGACATCCAGCACCTCGTTCCTCAAACAGAAAACACCCCCAAAATCCATTCCCCAAAGCTTTCCCTGTGTCTCATCCTTCCTGCAGCATCCCAAAGAGCCAGGGTGGGGAGAGGAGATTCTCAGTGGCCACTCAGCAAAGCTGGCCACAGGTCAGCTGGAGGCTCAGCCCAGCTTTGCCCCACTCTTTTTACCTCTTTCTTTTATATTAAGCCCCATTCCAGACTCAGAGAATCCCTTCCCAATCYCAGGGGCTGCCTGTRCTGCCCTTGGAGTGCCAGGGCACYYRGCTRCCAGGGYCTGMYATCCRCYAMCTCATTCCTSAAACAGAAAATACCCCCCAAAATCCAATCCCCCAAAATTTAGCATTCTAAAGAGCCAGGGAAAGAAGAGGACGCTCTCAGTGGCCACTCAGCAAAGCTGGCCCGAGTCCCATGGCCACAGGTCAGCTGGAGGCTCAGTCCAGCTTCTCCCCCTCTTTTTGCCACCCTCTCCGTGGATTTGAAGCTGCAGCCCTGACCCAGAGGGATCCTTTCCCAGTGGCTGCCCTTGGAGTGCCAGGACACCCCAGCTGCCAAGGACTGGCCCCAGATCCACCAGCTTGTTCCTCACAGCCCATCCAACAGCTGCTGGCTCCACCAGCTCCCGGCCAGCTGGGCWCAGGCCAAACCCATAGCCTAAAGGTGAAGCATTTGTTCCAGTTACCTGAGCCCTCCACTTCCTCACAAACAGCCATTCCAAGATTTATGGGGCCAAAGGAGCAGGGCTGTCAGACCCTGGATTATCTCAMGATGAGCTTTTTCCACGCTCCTGTAAATCCCAGAGCKTGTTTTCGCCTCTCTCAGATTCCCYTGCAGYCCRTGGCTGTGCATCCTCCTCTSCTCCYWCTTGCCAGCACAGTTTGAAGCTGCTGGTTCTCTTCTTCCATCACATTTCCTGGAGCACTGCTGGGGGCTGTGGGAAGCCGGTTGAAGGGAGAAGGGACCCCTCAGTGCTTAAATCCCCACAGATCCTCGGTGACCCCAAAATCCCCCATGGAAGGAAGGTGTTCAGTGTGTTAGTGAAGATTCCTGAGAAATGTTTTTCCTGTGGTTTTCTATTTTTCCTGCAGTTTTCCTTTTTCCTACACTTTTCCCATTTTTCCTCTGGTTTTCAATTTTTCCTGCAGTTTTCCATTTTCCCTCTGGTTTTCCATTTTCCCTGCAGTTTTCCATTTTTCCTGCAGTTTTCCATTTTCCCTGCAGTTTTCCATTTTCCCCTCCCATTCCTCTGGAATCTGCCACTGCAAGGGGTGGACAGCAGTGGGAGGTGCCCATCCAGGAGCTCCAGGTTTTGAGGAGCTGGTGGCACCTTTTGCTAAGCCAAAGGTTTGAGTTTTGGCAATAACCATCACAGAGATTTTTCATGTCCCTCCTGCCCCACCCACGCTCCTCGGGGTGAATCCCAGGGGGTGAATGTGTGGGAAAGGTGCCATGGCATCCTCCCTGGTGCTGTGCTGGCACAGGAGCCCTTGTCAGGCGTGTGGGACCGTTTGTGTTCCCTGACCTGGCCATAACCCCCGGCACCGCTTGGCTCCTTCTCCCTTTAGTTTCTTATCARTGCACTCAACAGCTTCCTGCTTCCCTGTCTCCCTCAGACCAAGGAGGGCATCAAGGAGAACCTGAAGGAAGAAATCATCAGCTACAACTTCAAGAGCTCATTYTTTGATATTTTTGTGAGTATCTCAGCCTCCTGAAGGTCTCTGGAGCTCAGCGGGGCTGGGAGGGTCTGGGGTGTCCCCTCGCCCTGCTCGGTGAATCTCTCCTGGTTCAGTCTGTTCCCTGGGAGCTGGCAGCTGTCCCTGCCCTCCTGGCACCTGGCAGAGGGACAAGGGCAGTGACTGGTGTCGCTGGCTGTTTGTTTTTGCAGCTCTTGGCTGTGTTTCGTTTCGTCGTGCTGCTCTTGGGCTACGCCATCGTCCGCCTGCGCCACTGGTGGGTCATCGCGGTAAGGAGGCACTCCGGGCTTTCCTCTAGGGAGTTTTCCCTCTCCTCCCAAACTTCACAAAGATCTGAACTCCATCCATTTATTTTTCAGGTCACTACACTGGTTTCCAGTGCCTTCCTGATTGTGAAGGTCATCCTCTCCGAGGTTGGTTTCCCTGGGCTCACGGGGGGTTGCTTTGTGATTTTTCAACACTGTTTTATTCCCTGTTTGGGTCATTCCCTGTGGTTTTCTGCTKCTTTCCACACAGCTTCTGACCAAAGGAGCTTTTGGGTATTTGCTTCCCATCGTCTCATTTGTCATTGCTTGGCTGGAGACCTGGTTCCTGGATTTTAAAGTCCTAACTCAGGAAGCAGAAGAGGAACGATGTGAGTATTTTTRCTCCTCTCTGGTAGGAGTTGGACAAAACCAACCAACCAGGCCTGGGTTTGATGCTGCTTTGGCAGCACCTTGATCTGACATTTCTGGAAAAGAGATCTCCAGGGATGGGATGAGAAATGCCTGACTCAGTTCTGTTATGGTCAACAAGTYCCTTCAGGGGAAGAAAATACCAGATTATAAAAAGCATCTTTTAATCGAGGGGAGAAAAATGTGCCAGATTTCCCAATCCTGCAGCCAGACGTGCTGGWGACAGAGCTCACCTCTGCAGGGGAGAAAGTGTTTGGAAACAGTGAGGCAAATGCCAAGCAGAGTATTGGACTCCCTGTCCCTGATAGCTGTGTTTGGATGTGGCTGGAGCCCTTTCCAGGAGGGCTGCTGGAGTCACAGACACATTTCGTGGCACRGGGTGAGTTATGGGGTGTGAAATTCTGCTGCCTGTGGTCTCTGAGGTCACGCTGAGCAGGGATTGAGGCTGACCTCATGCTTCACACATCACCCTCTAACTTCCAGGGTCCTTCTAGGGAGCTCAGCCTGGGCTGGAATAGCTGCCCAAGGAGTTTGTCCCTCTCCCAATGGCTGGGAAGTGGCACTAAACTAAAAGGGGCATTTGTCAGGCGGGGCTCGGTCAGAAATGCTGACTGGAAAGCACCAGGGGATGTTTGGGTCTTGCAAGGAGGCTTTAAGATGAAAAATGATCAAGTGTTTAATGCCTCTATTGGATTAGGCTCAGGTTCCAAACTGCTTCCAGGGGAAGCTCTTATTTAATTAGATGCTTAATCGCCTTTGGATTATTTGACAGGCAGAAGAGGCCATTGATCTCTGGGGCAGATAAAACATCTCAGACAAAAGATGAGGCAATAGGAGCTGAGGTTTGCTGGTGTCAGTGGGAAAAGGCATGGAAAAACGTGGRAAATGAGAGGGTGTTTGGGCAGGGCTGGGGTCCCAGGACCTGYCAGGTGTTGAATCCTCGTGCTCCCRTTCCCAGGGTTCCTGGCAGCCCAGGCTGCAGCCTCCAGGCCACTGCTGTACCCCCGAGCCCTCTCCGAGGGACAGTTCTACTCCCCACCAGAGTCCTTCGCAGGTAAGATCACCTGTGCCATCACCTCACTTCCTGTGCTCATCCCCCCTGGAATTCCTCACCTCCATCATTTCCTCCCCGAGCTCTGCCTCATTATCCCAACCCTTGGCACAGGGTCCCCCTTCCCCTCTGTGTGCCTGTACCTAGGCAGGSGTGGCACTGCCACTCTCTCCCTGTGCCACCTCATTATCAGAGCCACCCTCGAGCCCGGCTGCAGCTCTGTGGGGAACTGGAGCCGTGCGTGGGTTTGGGATTAAACACTCTGAGCTGTGTGCATGGAAACTGGGGCTCAGGG